CTATTGGCTTGGCATTAGCGACCACCTTCTCTACTGAATGTTCATTATGCCTCTTTATTAACCCTTCCGTCATCAGCTCGACCATGCCAGCGCTGTATCAAGCGGGGTATGGCAGACAATTGTACCGAAGGTCATCGGAAGAAAGCGAAATACCTTCTAGATGACGATGAACTCGGTACGACGTCTTTACTACCATATACCCTACGTCTCATGACCTCACAATACACATGCAATACATATGTAGATGCTCTTAAACGTAGCAAATCTGGAGATGGCTCAAAATCCTCCGAACCTCCCTCACAACCTCATCCACAACCGCAGCCATCTCAAGGTATATCTAATAATGTTTGTTCACAGAATCATACTCAACCGCATGACTACCTCAAAGCACAGCAACCTCAGAATACCTACATTGCTCAACCCGAATCCATCTTTGCTACGTTTAACAACCCAGCCGCAGCTTATGCGGCATACAACACAAGTAACGATGCTGCAAATCTTGAATACTCGATCATCTCATCAATATTGGGCAATTCACCAGATTCCGGCGCATCAGGCAGTCCCTCAACAAGCAATGCTCAACCACACACCCACGCACAACGTGGTCCCTATGCTCCTCCCCAACCTACTGGAGGATTAGTGACAGCGGCCTGGCCCGGCGAACCCATACAAGCTCAATATAACTCAAGCGCTGGATCGACAAATGGTTATGGAAGTGCTCCTGGTCCTTCGAATTACGCTAGCCAACAACAGCAACAGCAACCACAGCAACAACGTACTCAAGGCTTGGCATTACCTGGGACAGACGGCTCTACTTACATGTCTCCAACTACCAACTCGTTCCCCTCAACTCAGTACGGTCAGTCATCGGATTTCAGCCAACAACAGCAAGGGACACAGCAAATGGCTTCGTCGATATCTCAACAGTATCCTGGCCAAGTATCCTCCAGTGGGACAATCGCTATGCCGCCCTATGCTCGTGCTCGCTTAATGTCGGGCACGCCTGTCAGTGGCGTGGCCCAATCCGATGGCTCTAACACTCCGACATGGCCATCATCACAGAACAACAACGGATACAGCGCTCCTACGTCAGCAGTGACTCAGGTGGACGATACCTCTAGTAGTATCTACACCTCTGTGACCAAGCCATATGACTACACTGAGGGGTATCACTTCTTAATGAAACACCTATCCTGCCGGTGGGTTCATTCTCAGTACTGTGTTTAGCTTTAGGAGAGGTAATCGCAACTCATTATCTCTCCCATTTTCTTATTAGAAATTTCGAAAAGAACGATATTCTCCGCGTCGTGAGAGCTTTAGCGATATTCAGACCGTCGCTGATCGCTCTACAAATGCCCATGACTGAAGAAGACGAAGTTTTCGTTGAGAAATGTTTCCAGCGATCATTATTGGTACATCCTAGACGCATATAGTCAACGGAAATGACCCTCTGACTTGACTGTAGGAACTTGATAAACTCGTCTCGTTCAGTGGTACACCCACAGTTGCTTGGCGACGTACAGGAGAGATATGTCTTGTTGGACCCGAGTTCTGTATGCTCTCGGGCTGGGAAAAAGAGGATCTGACTGCTCCTGGTCGACGAAAATACATCTACGAGGTAACCTTCTACCATCATTCCTCTACTTCTTCACAGTGGCTAACGGAAACCGTTTAGCTATTCGAGAATCAGTCGGTCGTGGAGTATTGGGAGAACTTTGCTAACCACGCTTTCGAAAACACGACGCAATCCGTTTATTCGCATTGCATCCTTCTAAAACCGAATGGCACGCCCGTCCCATGCACCTTCTGTTTCTCCATCCGGAGAGATATCATGGATCTACCGAGTCTCGTAATAGGTTCGTCACTATCTACATACTCCATTTGTAACGTCTTTATCAATATGTTTATACCCTTTAGGTCAATGGTTACCTCTTCTATGATGTAGACGCACTGAGGTCCTATCCATACATATTACTCCCGCGTTCCCTACCCTCGTCATCGCCTCGTTCACCATTGTCTTTCATCACGATTTGTCGCATTTTCGTCTATTGGTTTATTCGGCGGCAGACCTACCTTATCTCGATGTTTTGTTTATACTTTTTTTGTTTGTTTGTCATCGCTATCGGTTTCCTTTGACGCATTTCTTCCTCTCTGGTTTCCTTCATCTTTTATATTTAAAAAAGGTCGACTTGTACCCTCCTTCCTTCGATTCTTATATTTTTCATCCTCATATTGACACAGTAACAGTAACCATCCGGGTTTTATCGCATGCTATTACTATTGTACTACTATGTCAGGGATCCGACTGACAAGCTACTTCATCGTTCAGGCTTTGCGTGATACTCAAAAGAGATGGGTCATTTCATAACATCCAACAAGCGAAAATATCAGGGAATAAAAGTCCAATATCGAGACTACATACAATAAATTATTCCACAGATAAGTATCAAAAAACCACCACCGTATCACTTATCTACCTCCTACTACTTTTCGACTCTCTCCTTAGACGGAGTCCTGAACAGAAGCGTACTCGCTCTCGATTCCGGGCTCCATAAGTGATGCATGTCCAAGGATCAAGATGCCAGAAGCACCAACTATCCAGAACAAAGTGCTTATTGGTGACGAAATCCAGAGAAGAGGGATACCAATAACGAAGAGACCGATGTAGAGGTGTTTCTGGGTCACGGTGTGATCACCAAATTGAACAGGGTCAGGAGCCCATTTGTTGATAGCGGCGAAACCTCCGACGAGGAAGCCGAGGGCAATCAAGAGAAGGGGATTTGTGAGGCTGAGAGACGAAAATAGAGTGGGGGCTGTTAATAAGGGGTTATCGTATGCAGGGGACTTGGGGGTGGCTTACAAGGCGTAAACAGCGAGCATTGCTACGATGATACCATAGTTTCCTGAGAAGTAGCGTGTGTTGTAGGATATTCTCTGCAATACAAAGAAACGCAATACACGTCAAGTCACTCCTGCATAAGAGCGCATATAATTCAAAATGCACGCACCGAAGTAGCTTGTGTCAAGTCTGCAGGGCGGGATATCCTATGGTGATCGAAGAACTCTGTAGGCCCTCTCAACGCACTCAGACGTGCTTCCTAGATAGAGGACCAATCATTCCGAGCAGAAAATGAGAGAGTAGTTGGTCAGGCTTGGATCTACGTGTCGGACAAACAATGACGCTGGCGTACCCTGAAGGATTTGAGGGTCTCGCTAACTCGAAGGAATGCCTCCATGGCTATAGAATTGGTTTGGTGGCTGAAGACTAGTTTGGTGGTTGAAGATGAAGATGAGAATGTCTGCGAAGGAGCGTGCGTTGGTTCAAGTAGAGGTAGGTGGATGATTGAGAGAGAGAAGTTTATTTGGACTCGAGCGGTTCTCTGCGCCGCAGCCAAACACGAACGCGTGCATTGTTCTCGCCTTGCCCTTTCCTTCACCACAACGTGTCTTTCCTCTCTCCGTTCACTCTGCACGTCATTCTACTGCGCCTCTCACACATACTGTCACAGTTTTACTGCTTTCCGTGATCCCTGGTCTATTCAAGAGGAGAAATGATTCGTCGAACTCCCACTCTTATCGCGCTCAGTGACAACGACGTACAGGATGTCAGAGAAGAGATCTTGAGGCATGTGGCTGATATGCAAGCCCAAGGAACTCCTGAACCCTCTGGACCGAAGAACGAAGAGTACAAGAAGGCAGAGGAGGAGAGGAAGAAGAAAGCTGCACAAACACACGAACAAAGACTTGGCTTGTAAACATCACGTTATAAGAGAATTCTGTCTTCTCATACGCTCAGTAAGTCATCCTTTGTACTTTGCTGCTCCGTCGAGTAGATGTTCATGATGGCCGTGCAGGTAGCAGCAGTTTTAGCCCTGTACATTAGATGAATACCCTGTGCAATCAAACCTCCTACTCTGTAACGAATGCAAGATGCCTCGTCGAGGGCATCCCTTATAGACAGACCCACACCACCCTGACCTCTCCATTTGTATTTGAAGGCATGATATGACACCAATCTTTGTACTGGTCCAAGGTATTTTCTCTGGCTCCCTCTTATTTGTTGGTACTGTCAAGACGAGATGATAGCGGTCTTGCTGATGTAAATGCGATTTGGGTAAGTTGCAGACAGTAAAGACACCCGCAGGAAAGAGGTGGATATTGCAAGTTATTGTTATCCCCCTTCTGGTATTGGAGCGAAGTTACTTCACATTGGCTTGTGCTGCTGTAGTCGGAGCCAATGAATTCGATACCGGAAAAATCGACAGATACTTTTTGCTCACCATCTCGAACATTTATATCTCTCCGAAGCCTCATTCATTCATTTCAGTTTCCCCCGTAGAGTTCTATCCAAGTCTTGCTTCCCGGAGCCGACGTTTCCAGCAATCACCTCCGCCGATACGCAGGCTCATATGCAAGCGCTACCACATCAAGTCGTCAAAGGTAAGCTATATATGTCAACACAAAGATAGATAAATGACGAGATAGTCTGTGGGCGGCAGCAACCTAGACCAAGTTCACCAGTTCGAGATACCTACCAACTTTCTTCCCGGGGACTCGAGGAGCCCCTTCCTCTGTTAGCGTAGATATGATGCGAGGCACCCCTAAGGTTAAGACCTGCTAACATAGAGATGACGTAGCCCTTGCCTGCCGGAGGATCGACCATAGAGCAGTATGACAGCTGGTCTACGAGCTCACGGACATCTTTTTATATATTGTCACAAAACGTCAATAATGCCTAACACTCCCGTTCCTCGAACCGCCGTGGTTTCCTCCAAGCCAAGGAAGCTTATGAACGCGTATTACGAATCTGGATGAGATAGCGAATTCTTAAAAAGCTGGGAAGAGGGAAATGGTAAGGCTCTCGCGGGGCGGTTTTAAGTGAGTGTGTCATAAGAAACAAATGGAGGATAGACATTTTGAATAGATGGGACTCTAAATTGCATCGTCAACGTTGTAATCAACGCGGATTTAAAAAGCAAGCCACAATCCTAATGGAATCTCGCTGGAAGCAGGATTTGAACCTACGCGGGCAATGCCCAAGTGATGTTTGAGACACAAGGTCATTCAAATCACTCGCCTTAACGACTCGGCCATTCCAGCATGATCAATTGTCCTCATCTCGAGATTATTATGGTTATGTGCTCTGAGTGGCACTGCATCAGTAGACTCAGCCCACCACTTGACCATTACTTTCTTTTTGCCTATTTTTCGAGAGATAACACGAACTTACTCTCTTCCAGCGAATTACCCTTCAGGATAGCACTCACGGTTCTAACATGTCTGTCATTCCTCATCGAGTTGTTCGATATGATTGGCAGTCACAACAGGATTCGACTCCATGTACAATCATGCCCTTGAGTTCTCTGCCTGTCTCGTCATACAAGTGGTCTTCTTATCTCGTGAAATAATTTACAACATACATCGTTACATGGTCACTTATGCCATGTACGATTTAAGCTACTGCTCCAGACAACAACCAGCCAAGGCCGTCCACCTGATCCTTGTCCCATTGCTTGTATATAGCGACATTCGGGAACATCGCCCTCCCTCCATGAGGCATCCCAGTGTACCTAGTCGATAATGTCAAGCTGCATATCTACATCACAATGCACATATCGTACGTACACTTCAAATTTGGTCTTCACTCCCGCCTCCCTGAGGGCTTGCTCATAGACCAGGCCATCATCCCTGAGTGGATCTATACCTCCTATTTGGAGGAATGCCGGAGGTAGACCTTCTTGTGTTGTAGCAAGCAGTGGCCACAAATTCGCATCGTCTGGTCTTGCACCAACGAGCTCTAAAGAAAAAGGTTAACATGCTTAACAATAGGACGATTCAAAGAAAGGTTGTACCATTTGTCTTTAGCAATCCTGCCCGATCTAAAATAGGCGAGTCTTTGTTTTGCTCCATGGAATGGAATAAATCCTTGTATCTAAAATAGCACAGTCGCGACATTGTCAGTCGATTTGTATACTGATATGTCCAGCAAACTCACTTCTCTGGAATAGCATCTGGATGTACGACCTGGGGCACGTTCAAGAATTGTCCAGTGACGGGTCGACCTTGGAAGAATGGATCGTCCCGAGCTTTCAAGGCCATGAGGGCAGCAGCCGTACCGCCAGCCGAGAAACCGCCAACCAAGAAGCCTTTCTTGATGTCACCTGATGAAGATGCAATATTCTCTGCGGTCTGGTTTTCAAGTCAGGTTAGTACGACCGTTCAATCCCAAGCTGACACCCGACTTACCCATTTCAAAGCAGCGTAACAGTCATTGGGGCCGGTTGGGTAGGGATATTCGGGTGCGAGCCTATTGAGGTATGAGATACAGAACCCAGATTAAAAAATGATGCTACTGCCTACCTATAGTCGACGTTCACTATCACAACTTTCAAGGCGACACACCATCGCCTCAGAGTGTAATCATCCATTTCGATTCTTCCCATCAACCAACCTATAAACACATCAATACAAATTCCTACTCAATATTATTCGGCCTACCTCCTCCATGGTACCAAACCAGAACCGGGAATGTTTCTCCATCCGGCGCGGTTGGTGTCAGACATCTTGCAGGTGATTTCGCCCCCATCCACTGGGACTTTGCGATCCTCAAGACGATATTCGGTTTCTGAGCAGCAGTCGAGTTAGAGCTACATACAGAAGAGTATGGCAGACGAGGTACTCACCTGCGGGCAGTTCGTGCTTGGTAGCATTCAAGACACCAGGAAGCATCTTGTCGAACCTCTCCCTAACTGCGATGGGATTGTCGAAACCAAACTTGGGAAATTTGGCCAACAGAGGAGCGAGTTCGGGATCAGGTGTGGAGTACTTTGCCCATTGAGACATTGTGGTATAATGATGTTGTTTCTGGATTTGAAAGATGTGTATGGAATATTTGTTCAACTTGAACTTGGCGGATGATTCTGAGCAGCAACTTGAAGTTGTACGAGCTATTTAACCACTTCCTCATCGTGCTTTAGTGGTTCTCCGCAGTGGTAATATTCATAAGCATCATTGCTAGTTCAATAAATCAGTCTTTCCTGGGAGTGATTTGGAGATGGATTGGCAAGACAGGGGCTCAACGTTGCCTGTGTACCATGAATCTTTCATGATGTTTGATATCACTGTGACCAACTTGTGTATATAACTGGGCTATATTTAGCACGGGCTGCACAGACTCAACCTGACGCGGTGTTTTCATATAACTACTCACAGTCTAGCTTGGTCAGGTTTGTATCCCTAAATAACATTATCTTGGGATAGCCACGACATGGACTTGATGTGCTTAGTTGGACTGAGTCATCGAGCTGACACGACGACGTTTTCATTCAATTTCCTAGGTGTTGGTAACAATGGCCGTTGTTGGAATGATGGAGGTAGTCGTTGAATACTGACGTGTTGATAATCAAGTCTCGTTTTGTATGAGAATACGTTACTGTGAAGTGAAATGAGGGAATACAAGGAGAGATCTATACACTGTGAGAGCTCCTTGGATCTTCAGACTATGGGAGTCTTCATCCTGATACGATACGATAATCCACACGGTCAGGAGCAGGAAGTTTGGCGAAAACATCTTGGAGCATAGACATATAAGGCTCCAGGCATCTGGATTTCTCGGTACCCTAAGTCGAACGCTGACCAGTTGGACAGATGTCAGTCCAGATGACTGGGCCCACACGTCTACAATTTTCTTCCAGCTATCGAGACCAATGCGAGCGTCATCTAGGTATTTTTCTCTTGCGTGTATCTTGAATATGATAGTCTTCAGTTCCTTGGATGATATCGTTCTGAGAGTATCTGGAACCCATTGGTTAGGCGGAGGTAGAGAATGACCATTTGTTTCACCATCGTTTTCCCAAGGTCTGGTAAATCGAGTTATCACCGAGAAGGTCAAGCGTTGCAGCAAAGAGACTTTTTTGAGATCCACGACCTGTTCTGTTAAGATGGATGAGTTCCATGCTACTTGGCATCCGAAGCTTGGTTACTCACCTTGTGTCAGATTAACACTCTCTTGGTGTCCAATGTAGATGTCGCGTAACCCATTACCGGCAGCATCAATGAATGACTGCACACATCCACTGTCCTTATGTTGCATATCCGGAATTTTGAACTTTGTGATGCTACTAGCCCTGGCGCAAGTTATGAGTTCGTTCAAAATGTGGGGTACTACTGGGTCGCTGTTACACAAGGACAGTGACTTCAGGGAGGCACAAAACATAGGGTTTCCGCCGATGGGCGAGGGATCTAATGGATGTGGGGCCATGATATTCCCCGAGCTGAGATCTAAGAGGTCGGGTAGGCCAGCCAGCAAGTCGAAGAGGATATCGAATGATTGAAAGCCACAGGCCACAACACGTAACAGGGCTGTCCTCGGGAAACATTCGGAGATTATTTTGGTGAGGTTCGAACCAATGTTAGCCCGCACTACTATCAGAGTGGTGACATTTTTGAAGTAGGCACCGATCTCTCCCAAGAGGGTTTCGAAGTCGCTATCATTCGCTCTACTAAATTCAGGCACGATACGCAGTGTCTTAACAAGACCTGGGACTTCAGTCGTTTTCGCGCAGCGTTCGGCGAACTTGAGAATGCTACGAGGATTTAAGGAGATGTCGCGAAAGATGTGGAATCGTGCACGAGGGCGGAAGGACCTGTTGGTAAGGTGGCACGTCCATAGAGCCACTTGATCATCTTGAAGAAAATCGATAATATAGTCAATAAGTTCACCAGGAAGATCACGTGAGAGCATGTCGAGGAAGGGTTCGTGATTTGAGTCAAGGAGGTATCCCAGAGGGATGAGATAATGGTATCAGTGAAGGAACATCACGAAGCCTGGAGGCGAGTTTATTCCATATTTAACGGTGGCCATCCCGTCTGACAAAGCCATGGTGTTGTGGTCGCTGTGACAGACAATGCCAATCGTGATTGACCTGATTGACCTCGACAATGGTATTCAAAGGTCCCGGTCAGAAGATTTGATGGTTAGTAAGACGTCAATGAGCCAAATTAATGAAAGGAACGATTGTCTTCTTCCTTGAGGTCTGTAAAGGAGACTAGAGCTAGATATTCTTTGCAGAGGCTGCGAAATCCAAATGGTATTAGAGAATACGTAACGAGGCTAAGTCCAAGAGAGAAATAATACTGGAAAAACAGAAAGCGTGTCGATAACAAACGACAGAAAAACCGTCCTGTGCCTTCTAGCAGGCGGTCTTAAATTGCTACACATTACTCGGATTAAGATTCACCGCCAACCATCGATTGCCGTTTTTAGAATCGGCTGTGATCGGGACGCTTCATCATGATGCTTTCTTCACTAACATCAGCGCTGAGATTGTCACCGGAGACGAAGTGGCGAAGGCCACTCGACCTATTATTGCCACGCAGCATAGGCATCTGCGAGTCTGCAGAGAGCGTCCCGTCACGACTCTGGAAGGAGTTTCGTTGGCTGTCACCGGTGGGCAGGGACATGATCGAGTGACGAGCGGTCTCCTGCATTTGCATAATGTTTTGGCGGAATGCGTTTTGCTCGCGCCAATATTGGAGACGTTTCTCGCGCTCGACATCACGTTGACCTTTGTGCAAGAAGAACATGCCTATCAAGGTGGCGATCATACCTGAAAGGGGTTGAGCATCCTAAAATAACGCCGTCAACATATCACTTACCACCGAAGATAGCGATACCACAAATGATGTATACCCAGACGGCTACATGAGCGGGAGTATCAGCAGGCTTGCCACAGACACCGGATGCGAGACAGTTGAAGGATTGGCACCTAGGTTTGAGTTAGCATCTTTCAACGGGAAAAGTACAACAACACTTACTCTTTGTCGGCACCACATGAAGCGCCGAGGTCCTTCATCTGCATACACACTTTCTGTGAAGCATCACAGTAGAGGCCTAGGCGGCAGTTATCCCTATATCAATACGTTGAGTTGAGAGGGAGGCACCCTATTGGGACATTAATACTGACCTGGAAACAATGTCGATGAACTCGGAGTCTGTAGTGTATACTGTGTAAGGGATGTTCTCGACGGTACAGGGAAGACCAAGGGTGACGTTCGCCCACATGCAAACGTTGTTGAGACAGACGGAGCCATTGACGTTG